TGTGTACTTACTTAGGAAACACCTTGTATATCAAATTTAATAAAATTTAATCCATAAATTAAAAAATTAATTAATATATCAAATTAAGTGAAATTCTTCCTTTTACACTCTAAGCTCACGAGTGCAGCATACCCGTGAATCCCTTGATGTCGGCAAATAGGATGCTGACGTTCTCATAACGGTGGATGTATATCCGGTGGAACTGATTCGGCGTGAATGATATCGTCCCACCACGTGCTGTCTCGCGGGCAATGTCGCGGATCATTTCCTTGGCGACAAAGTCGGGCAACACTTTAACGAGATTAATTATTGATTATCTTTCCATGACACGCGTATTAATGCAATGATGCATGTAAAAGTGTGAAGCTTAAAGTTTAGCGGAATCTTTAAGGTGAGATTTCATTGACGCTAGAAACCAGCGGCAGCGTCAAGAAAATGTAGTGGGGGAAGAAGTTCAGACCGTTTCAGCTTTTTAGCGTACCGCAAAATTCAACGGAACTTCTTCCCCCACTACATTTTCTTGACGATGCCGCTGGTTTCTAGCGTCAATGGCCGCATTCAGGAAACACAACTGTTGAGTGAGCGGTTAGTGATTCTTTAATATGATTGGTTCTTACCTTTGGTTCTAATCCGGATCTAAGTGTAAGAACCAATCATAATGAGCGCTCACTCAACAGTTGTGTTTCCTGAACGCGGCCAATGAAATCGCACCTTTAACCGATTCGCGGTAAATTTCTCTTTAGTAAGATAAAAGCATTTGTCATAAATAGTCATCGTTTTAAGTATCTTTATAATCAGTTCTCTCGAATGTTAGAGAAACGCGTCTAAATAAAGTCCACTTGAATCAGAAAAACAAGGCTCCGTTATCCGTGTCCGCTTCTAAAGTTTAACTATCGGGAAGTTTCGTAATTTCGCCGGCTTACAATTTGTGTAACTATAAATCCTCGTAACGTTATTTCGGCATCAATTTATTGAAAACAAACAATCCTACGGCGTTACGAGAGCGAGTGATAGTGGGTCAAAGGTGGTATTTATGTAATCCAGCGTAATGTATCTCGACGACGGGTATATTTTCGTAGCGGCTGCTACGAAGAGCGGCGGATCGATATATCGGGTGGAATCGGCGACGTAACACGCAAAAGACTATTGGAAAAACGTGCGTCCAACCGGCGCAATCGGCCGAGAGAGTGTCTAGTGACCCTTTTTGACACTCGGCCGAGCAAGTTACACGGACGAGCAGCGGCGAGTTACCCGTCGCATGTTACGATAAATATGCACATAAATACACAGCCTAGTTACTCCGCGACGGACGCCTCGCGTCGTCTTTCCTCTTCGAAAGCTGCGAGAGGTATTCTCAAAGATTCCCTGCAGTTTCACTGAGGGGTACTCGCCAAGGATACTCTAATCTCGTTTCTTTAAAGCTTCGGCTGAAGGCACGAGGCAAACATCGGTATGAAAATCAATCTCGCGTCCTGAGTTGCTTCGCAACTGTTCTACTTCAACTACTTCGAACAAAGAAAGAAGAATGGTTCAAGGAAGCTTTATTATTAACACACTTATTATTAAAAAGAAATTTGATTTAAACATTTTTATTTTTGAAACACTCGAGTTTACGTCTGAGGTGTTTTAGATCAATATTAAAATCATTAGATGGATCGTTTTAATGTTCAAAATACAAGAGAAAAAAATATGGCAATCCGAAAAAATTTTTTTACCTGAAAGCAGCAGCTTTTCTTGTCGGTTGTTCTCGTTCTGCGTGCGCTGTCGCGTTTCTGTGGAACGATGGGTCTCCAGGAAGGCCTGCCGTTGTCCCCGGTCCGTCAAGTACTTGGTATACATGCCGGCCAGGTTCACGGCCAGGTACAGCAGTACGTTCGTCGTCAGCATGCGGACAATGCATGCGGCATCTCGCAGCTGTGAGAGATTCAAGATCATTTAAAAATTCTAAAATAATAATTGGAGCTAAACAAAATAAATATTTACACTCAAATCAAGAAATTAAGGATTTAAATTAAAACAGCAGAAATTAAATTCAAAGATAAAAAAAGTAAAATTATAATAAGAATTTTAGTTAATTGTTCAAATTTACCTATAAATATTATGCACGATAAAAGATCATTTATCATCAAAATTATCTAATAATTTTCTTATTCAAGAAAAATGAAACAACCAGAGGATTAATGGGAAATAAATCTCTTTAGTTGAGGAAACTTTGAATGGAAAATCCAGGAGTGGTCTTTACGACGTGTCTTCTCACATATGTGGAGTTTTGCAGGAGACTTATGCCGGCCATCACCATGTGTGTTAGCGCCGTTCCGTAGCCGGCGAGGACGCACCATCGCAGCGGCAGAGGCAGCATCGCATAAGGCGCGTACACGACAAAGAGTATGTACCACATGAACCTCTGCTGCGTGGTGAAATTCAGACCGGCACCTATGAAACCTGCAAATAGTCACGAGATACGTTACTTAATTATACCAAGCATTCGTTTTTTTTCTCGATACATAATCCGGTGTTCGATCGAGGACCGAAATACCGGAACCGGGACGACTTAATTGGATGCGAGATTGTTTAAAAGATTATTTTTGGGTGCATCTCTCTCTTTCTCTCTCTCTCTCTCTCTCTCTCTCTCTCTCTCTCTCTCTCTCAGAATGAGCTCGATGAAATTATCGATTTTTATTTCCGCTTTGCTCCACGCTCCGGTGAACGTTCGTTCGATTCTAGTTGGCCAGCAGAGCAAGACGAGCATTCGCTTCAACTGCGGAATCGATACAGCGAAGTATTGATAGCTAGCGAAGCTATTAGAACGATGTAAAAGTTTTGTCGTTCTCACTAGCTAGAGTTGGAAGCGAAGTTACTAAGTTCCAAAGTTTCTAATTTTTACGCTCGAAATTAAGATTTTAAGATGAAATAATCGCTTACCCTTTGTTCTTTTTTTTTCATCAAAAAAAGATTGTTAATTCCTTTTTTTTTAATCAATAGTTTTGCTTACAAAACCAAGCTTTATGAGAAAGAAACGAAATCTCTCGCGCCTGATATTCCCAAACCGAGTAATTATAATTGCATCGAGTTCTAATTATGGGGATCGATAGGTCAGAATGAGTCGCGTGGGCCTCACCTTGAGAGTTTATTAATAACCAAGTGAATATCGAGGCCCAGTACAGGTAACTGTTAGAAAAGCAACGCCACCAGCCGAGCACGCAGATCACCAGATTCGCTGTCATGCAACACGCGGCCCACGACAAACCCTCGATGAGTCCTCCGCCATTCGGATCCCGTTGCCAGAGCCAGATCGCCGTTAATGTGATCTGCGTCGCGATAAAAAACTCTTCGGTCATATAGTTTATCGGAGAACACATTTAACTTTCATGAAATTTATATCCTATCTTCTGTCATCTATTTTTCATAGAATTTCAATGAGCGACTTGATTTATTTATTAAGTCAGACAATTTTTATCGTAAAGATGTAAGATAAAATACGGATTTATCGTACATGATTATGTTTGATTTTGTGAAATATAAAAATGTAATTTAGAATATATATTGGTAGCCTTATAACATGCACACTTTTAATTTAAAAGCTTAGGATGATGTCTGTGCATTTATTTTGTAGGAATTATTTAATTTTATAGGATATAAAACGTAATGACTTTACACGATCTTAGTTAATAACATTATATCCTACATGATTCTAATGGGGATAAAATAAATTTGCTTTTTGTTGCTTTTTCGTGTATCTCACCTTCAGACTGAGATCTACGATGTTCAACATTATCAGGGACTTCTGTCTCTGCCGATTCGAGTAGAGAAGGTAGGACGTCTCCAGCTGCTTATTGTGAAAACTGTTAGTTAGCGAGGGCAGGAATATTCCCTTGTATAGCGTCCCCTTCTTGAAGACATCTAAAAGCACACGATCGCACACATTTCCAGTTTTCTCGCACGCTTTACGCCGCGCCGGGCTAAACGGGAACACATCTCGAGATCAGGATTTCGTACCGTGTTGAGTCTGAGCTTCCTCATCGGCCACGGGTTGCTCCGCTTCGACGGCGGTTTCCGGTTCCGTTGTCGCGGCCTCGACATTCTCGTCGGGCGCCTGGCCGGCGTTCTTCTCTTCGGCGGCTATCTCGGGATCCGTGTTGGACTTCCGGTCCTCCCATGCCGCCAGTCCCTCTCGGCCCAGTCTCTCGGAGGTCAGTTTCTTCACCGCCTTGATCCATAATTGTTTCCTCGGCGAAATGCTCGATCTGCTCCAGATTTATCACATGTAGCATGTCGATTATAACGAAAAAGAGACGATTGATTCGATCGATAGAGTCGTGCGGCAAAATATACAAACGTATTTTATCTGTTTGCATAAAGAGAATTTTTTTACGTTTTGCTCTTATTTTACAGATTTATAATTCAAGAAAACTGTCCTAGAAATTGAGACTTCGAATAAATATTTATAATTGTATAAGAAATCTTGGCAATAAACAACAAGAGAATTATCTCCCCTACTATGAAAAATAAGAAGTGAAAAAAAATCCACGTGGATACCGAATTAATATCCCTTAAAGATTATTATATAGTATCAATGTTTTTGAAATAATCGTAAAAATAAAATTCAATTTATCCAATTTATCAGATAAAACACGTTCATTCTCGATTCAGATCGAGCGAATTTCGCACTCCGCGGAAGGACGGTGAGAACAACTTGAGTTGACTACTCACTCGTTGATGCTCGTGACATCGCTGTCCAGCATCATGCTCCAGGTCTGTTCTGTAATCATTATCTCCCCGATGATCCGCGGATCACGACTGACCGCTCACGTTGTGATCGTCAGTAAGGCAACAAGTGCCTTAGCGTCATCCGGCATTGTTCACAGACACCTTGAATGAAAACTGACTGCGAAGAAGCGACGATTTGTTCGCACCACGGCGACGTTGCAGCGGAGCAAGCGTCGTTTTTTTTTTTTTTTACGAGAGGGTAACTCTCCGGTAAGGAGAGACCTCGACAAGAAAGATCGATCAATCCACGATCGCGATCGCGCTCTCGACGGCGATCGACTTGTTTAACGAAATCCGGCCTGACTCTTCAGCTTCACGACCGGCAGGATGCGAGAGGCGTCTGATCGAAGTGTCATATCTTTTCCTTTCTTCTCACGGCGTATCGAGTTGTGACGAAAACGCCTCCACGGGGGGGGGACGCCTACGTACTTTTTTCTTTAACACTTTCAAGTGTTCTTTTAACGGTTACTAAATCAACTTCTTCATCAGTATTAAAATGAAACACGACGGTTCGTCTCTGCGACATACGAGGTCCGACGAAAAAGAAATGGCATTAAAAAAATGGATTATATATAATTTAGAATTGGAGATATAAATTTCAAATAAATTTTTCTGAATTTTTTAAATGAATGTATTGCTTCATCTTTCTGTATACATAATTGCTTCACGCGTGTGCATTATGTGTATATGTATTGATTTATACAGCAGTGATATGTTATAAGTGTATATAAAAAAATGATACATGTAAATAGATCTCTATAAAAAAGAAAATATCAAGATAAAATAATCCTCTTAGCAAAAATAAAACAAACTTAATTTTTTAATAGTTAAGAATTAATCACATAATAGCCTTTAATTCTAAGAAATTTTGGACAATAATTTTGCGATGCTTTGTTTTCACCAGCCATGTTGTATTTTTTCAAGACGCGAGTCTCAGACTTCATTTGCGTTTTTCTGTTTGTTTTTATTATTATTTTCGTCACAACCGACACGCGTCTTTGAACGAAGAAACGAAGTGTTTAATCGCGATAGATGAAAAAGATAGATAAAAAGTGTATGTTTACCGTTTATCGAAATTGCAGTATTAAAAAATCGCAATAAATGTTATTTCCATTGTAATTAATCTAAAAAGTAAATTTGCATCTCTAATACATGAATTTTTACTTGCGTTGCAATTTCAATAAACAAGAATAATGCATAACTAGAGAGTAATCTGTATAAAATAAATGTCGCGCATTTACGTAGGGATTACGTAAAGATTTTCTTTTTGTTGAAGTTTCAACGAGAAGGTGTACTTTTTAAACACAATAGCGAGTAGCTTACCTTAATCGTCAATCCTCGGCAAAAAGAACAATGACTCCTTTTTGCCACGTCCTGGCATCAAGTCCTAGGAGTTGCGGGAAAAACTTAAAAATTGCGCGCGCGCTTCTTGACAAGCCGACGAGCGGGATCTCCCGCTCGAGATGCCCACAAAGTTCAACCCGCAACCCCCATCATCGTCGGTTTATCCCCCCTTGTTGAATCTGATCCGGAGAAGGGGCGCGATTGTCGACGTAGTCGGCACTTCAGAATAACGTTGCCATCATTATACTATTAAGGGATGTCTTTTGTGCACAACAAATTTTTAATAATCTAAATTTGTCCTTTAGAAATAATAAATAGTCCGTCTGATTCGCTGTTGGTGTACATACATACTACCGACGAATTATAGAAAAGATGCATGTGATTGAATTTATATTTAAAAATAAAAATTTATATTCAATATTGAGTTATACTATTGAAAAATAATATTTGTCTGATTTATATAAGAATAAGATGTTGGTTTAAAGCGGAGAGGTTATCTGGTATAAAACCATCAGAAACCTCGGCGACGTCAGGAATAGTAAGGAAGGGCGCGCGCGAAATTTGCATTTGGTGGTGACAATAACTTATTTTGGACGAACACGTGTGTTCGAGATAAGCGATATGTATTTCGACGACACTCTTTTAAATACTGCATTCCTCTTCTCCTTTCTTTCAATGAAGAAAAAAGGAGAAAAAGAACGCTTCAAAGCATTTTAGTGTCAAGTGGACCGCAGCCTAAATGTTTATACGACATTTACATGTGAAAGAACGAAAACATGTCCACGTTTTTGTTCTTTATGTTTTATATGGTTTATAAATGAAAGGTTTATGTTAACCCGTTGTGGTCACATGGGGTCCAGTGGACCCCAGGCTTTTTTTTTTTTTTTTTTCCAAAAGTATACTATTTTGAAAGTAAAACGCACAAAGTTTTTTTACTCTATCTCAAAAAATTTTGATGAATATTTTTGTAAAAAAAGTCAAATTTCTCGAAAAAAAATTTTTTTTCTCGCGTTTTTTCAACATAAAAAATTTTTTTAAATTATTGGATTATCAAGAGGAAGTCATAAATTAATTCCAGTTCAAGGTTTGAGTCGATACATCAAAAAGAACGCAAATGGAAACTGTTGTGGGGTCCATTGGACCCCGTGTGACCACTACGTTATTTTTAGGAGGTGTGACCACAACGGGTTAAATAAAATTATAATTAACTTAAATTTATAAACAGAATAGTAAATTTCTTTCGCCAGTATATAGAATAACAATTAAAGTAATTTAAATTACTTTAATTGTTATTCTATATACTGGCGAAAGAAATTTACTATTCTGTTTATTATACACCGTCGACCCAAGAATCGGTGCTCCATCTTATAGTTGTTATTGCGATAAATATTACCACAGCCTCAGTGGTCGAATTGGCAAGACACCCGCACGGTATACGGGAGGTTCCAGGTTCAAACCCTGGCTGGGGTAATATTTTTCGCAATAAAATTTAAAAACTATTTAATTTAGAAATTACATCAACTGACCAAAACCATGGTCAAAATTACTAATGTCTCGATGATTGATCCGAAAAAGTGCTGTGTGAATCCGACAAACCAAGTTGGCTCACAGTTTTTCAATGTTCATATCGAAAAGACGTTATATATTGCCAGTCACGGTCGATTTAAATTACTTTAATTGTTAAATTTATAATTTTAAAAAATATTTTATTATAACGAACAAACATTTTATTTTAATATATGGTCATTTTTATATACATAGATTACACAATAACACATTACATGAATCAATCTATATTGTTATAAGTTGTTATAACATATATTTTACGCAATAAACTCTAATCAATAAATAACACCTCTATATGATATACCGATAAAAGCGAGAGAATTGCTTAAGGGGGAATCGAGCCTCATGTAACCGGTCAAAAAAATCGAAAAAATTTTTATTGCATAAATCATTATAATATATCTAGAATATGTTCCCAAAGTTCCAGAGCGAAATTCAAACTTGAAATAGGTGATTTTATACCTGAGCGTTACGCAAGTAAAGCGCGCGTTCCGAGAACTTGAAACTTTAAACGCGTTTTTCTCAAAACCATAGTTTTCAAATTGGTGTGCAAGATTACTCATAAACTATTCGACCAATCGATTTGCTTTTTGGCATGCATGTATAGATAACTAAATATAAATACCATTGTATGTATGTAAACCTCCTTGTTTAGTCATTTTATCAAATTAAATAATTTTTATTGCATAATTATATAAAGCCAAAATTTTTCCGTAAAAATCGAATTTTTTTTCTAAGTCCTGTTATTTTTTCAGTTTTGCATTTTTTACTGAACAAAAAGGTTTACCGACAATGGTAACTTATAATAAAAGTAAAAAAATTTGTATTTTTGTTTCAATGATATAGGCGCAATGCTACACACCAATTGTAAAGTCCGGCGCCGCGGCCTTTGAGAATAGTTTGTTGCTTGCTTATAAATAAAGAATTTTACAATAAAAGAATATTATTGTTTTACATCTACAAATGTTGCTAAAACCATTACCCAAGTTTCAATAAAGTTTCATTTTAATGTCTCTTTAAAAAAAATTCCACAAAATTGCCTTGTTTTCAGCG